CCACATCAGAAGCAAAAGCCCCAGCGCTGATGGCTTCAACTATTACAGGATGTCATCTCAAACAAGCAAAGAAAAAAACATACTACTCCTTCCGTAGCTGAGCCTAAGGCATTATTAGCTGACGACGATCGAGACAAGATCAGTGATGCCGTAGTTACGCATTTCTTATCCAGAAGCGAAACTCCTCCACCAGATTCACAACAACATACACATGAACCTTCACCCATCAGTTCAAAAGATACGCATAGGACGTCCGAAGCCAAATCGTCCGGATTAATTCTAATTTGCAATGCTGACCTACTCTATCAGGCGCTCGAGAAAGGACCCACAGCGGTTGCTAATCAAGTTGCACAGTGCATGGATAATCTCCTTTCAATCGCAACCGGCAACAAGGCAGTAGAAGAGAAAAACAGAGCAAAACGAAAGCGGAAGTAAACCTCGATACCTTCCAGACTCAAAAGATCTTCAGCGACAATACGGCGTGCATACTTCTTCTGTCACAAGATTCTTGCTTGCGGTTCGCGAAGGCGAAATACCGAAGGTTACTTCTTGCTTAATCCCTATGGAGCTAATCAACCGTAACCCAAAGCCTACCTGCAGTGTTGAAACTCAAACGTCTAACTCCGCCATCCGCCCAACCACTTCTATTTTGAAGGATGTCGAGATTCAAACTCAGCCGACATTCGCTACTGTTAAACATGTTGCTGCGAGGCGAAAGACGACGGTTTAGCCCAGCGTCACGGAAAGAAGAATGCGGTGTGCAAACTAATGATTCACTGGAAACAACCAAGAAGTGCTTCAAACACCACAGTCGTCCACTAAACGTAAAAACAAGACGAGCACATCATCAGCTGAATCAGTTCCATGACAAGGACCCCCACTGCTGCGAGATGAAGCACTCACAGCCGATGAACAAGTCGGCGTACAAACACGCGAGGACGTCTGCCAAGAAGCTACCGTCTACAACTACGTCTTATGGTGCTCACTATTTGCAAACCGCACCTAACTCTCCCGATGCAAAGGTGCCAACGCGAGCGCTGTTGAACGCCATGGTGGAGCTATTGACGATGACGGGCGCTGAAGGACTGACAGTAAGGAGCAAGCGACAGCGACCGAGAGGATCATCGTGAAGGCCCGGAATGTCGAGAAACTCGACCTATATTCTATAATTTCGTATAATCTCTCCTACTTGCAATGTAAGTGCTCAATAGAGCAGCTATTCTTTTTGTCTGCTTTAGACTACGGCTGCATGTAAAAATAATGAGAAATTTACAGCTGATATCCTCCTCCTTACAGT